CCTGGGAAACTAACACGCTATCCAAACTCTTTCTATCAGAACAAACCCTTGCCACCCTCCAAAGCCTGGATGAACTGGCCGCTTTCTCTCGGCACCTGGGAAGGGTCCCCTCAGCTCACGGAGTGTTCCCACTCCCATCAGCCCACCTGCCCAGAGGCTGTGCGTGCTTACGGATGCTCAGAGGACGTGGAGAGGACCATCGCTCTTACCTATAGCGGGCGACACACAAGTGGACCTTCCCCGAGTATCTCTGCTTGGCGGTATTGGAATTCCATTCATTATCCATCTATTGAAGACACAATGGACGTGCAGGTCACTGAAGCTGTAGGCGTCACATTTCATGCCGGAAGCACGCAGGAGATCCCTTCCACGGTCCCCCTGGGCTTTTCAGCCTCAGATGGTGGGACCCCCGTGAGATGCTGCCACACCCGGGTTCTTGGTCTTGGGTGTGACCCAGAGATGGGGGCAGGGTCCCTCCCTTCGGGCTTCTTGGTCACGCAGAGGACAGTTATAAAGAACTTGTCTCCCCCAATACTGTATGATATCACTTCTATGTGGAGTCTAAAAAGTAACACAAATGAAGGTATATGCACCACAGAAATAGACTCACAGACATAGATGACAATTTTTGTGGTTACCAGAATGGGGGAAGAGTTAGGAGTATGGGAGTAGCAGATACAAACTACTATATATAAAATAGATAAGCAACAGGATTTACTGTATAGCACAGGGAACTACAGCCATTGCCTTGTAATAACTTATAATGGAGTATAATCTGCAAAAATACTGAATCACTATGCTGACACTGACACAGCACTATAAATCAACTATAGTTCAATAAAAATTGATTAATTAATTAAAAGCTACTTTTAAAGAGACCTCATCTTCCCACACCCAGATTGGACTCAAGGTAAGGACCATCCCCCAACATAATTTAAGGCCTGAGACGTCACTGCCCCATACCCTGCCAGGCTCCTCGGAGGACACATTTAGGTAATGCTTTGTGCCCTCAGCCCTCAAGGGCTCAGTGCAGGGAGGGGAGCACGCACGCGCGGATGGTGCCCGGTGCCCCCGGGAATCCTGACCAGAAAAAGGGACAGGGGGCCGCTTCCTCCCGATACCCCCCCACCCCGCCCCACTCCTCTCTGCTGCCCGAGTCTGCCGGGCACCGGGACGCTGCCTATAGGGGTTTCCTTACACGGGCCACAACTGTCTTGGGGTCGGGAGAGGGAGGAAAGGGCACCAGGGGAGTGTGGGAGTGACCATGAAGCCCGCCCACCCCGGGAGAACAAGGCCGGGTCCCTCCGGACACTCCCGCACCGGGGAGAGGGCTCTCCTGGGGGTCACAGCACGGCACTCCCCGTCTCAGGGCCTTCAGTGGTTCCCCCTGGACTTGGACCAAAAGTCGAGAGCTTCCCTGAGGCCTCAAGCCCCCTCCCCAGCTCCCAGCTCCTCTCCAGCCCCAGCGGGCTTCCCCTGCGCTCCTTCTCATGGATAAACAGACCATGAGTGGCCAAGAAGGGCCGCCCTGCCCTTCACCTCGTCCCTCCGGGTCACCGGCTTGTTGGGTTCACGACACTCGCTGTTACCCGACTTTTAGGTATTGACTTACTTATGGTCATTCAGCCCATGAGAGCAGGGACCCCCTCCGCCCCCGTCTGTAAACTGGGGCCTCACATCCTGGCACATAGTAGGTGCTCAATGAACGGGGGTGAGGGCATGAGAAAGGGTGGCTGGGGAGAGAGGGCGAGGGCTGCCAACACCCACAGCCCGCATCACGGCGCAGTGGGGCAGCTGCCTCGGCCAGGACAGGACTCACGTCGGATTCAAATCTGCATCTTGGGCCACCAGATCTTGACAGAAAGGTGGGCTTGATGGACAGAGGTTCTGGCTTGTCACCCGGGAGCGGGAGGGGCCGGATAGATTCACCGATCACAGTGCGGCTTCCAGTGGAGCTTTCCTGACCTGGACACCAACATTGGAGCAATTTGAAAGAAGACACCAAGGAAATAATCAAAGTGCACTGGTCATTTGCCTTCCCTGTGGGTCTTTCCCTGTCTTTGGCATCAGTCTTGGACTTTTATTTTGGGACCCACCCATCTCCCACTCTTAATCTACACCCCCGGCTCTGGGCTGTCCATCCGGCAGAGTCCACGCCTGGCTACACCAATTGTTTGGTGGAGGTGGTGGTGTTGCACATGAGATGGGAAGGTCCAATCAGAGAGAACTTCGTGGGAGTAATGGGCAAAGAGGCTCTCCTTTTTCCTGGCTTAAAATGGAGAGGAGATGAGACTCAGTGATACTGCAGCCACATTGCCACCAGGAGGAGGAAAGTCTGTCTGAGAATAGAGACTGCTCGTAGAAGGAGGAGCTGGAAGATGGAGAGGGAGGAACCGGATCCGGGTGGCATGGCTGGAGCCCCTGAATCCAGCTGTGCCTGAGGCTAAACCTAGGCTCTTCACCTACTCTATGGGATAAATAAATTCCTTTTTGCTCACACCAGTTTAGTCCGGCTTTGCTGTCACTTATGACTGAAAGAGACCTGACTTATACACAAAGTGGCCAAATGGTCAGGTTTATGGCTAAAAAATATTCTTGAGACTCACTAGGACCAAAGCAGATCTGCCCATCCTGTCCTCATGGGGCTGCTGAGCCCCAGCCCAGTGACATGTGGCAGGGCGGCGAGAACTGAGCACCTTGACCAATGCTGGCCCGGACTGTCAGATTAAGTCAGGCGTGTTTCTTTAGGATCAGATGTGAATTACAGAAGCAACCATTTCCCTTCCCCACGTTCTCACTGCCTGGTGGCCTGCGGATGTTCCTTTCTGGCTTTGTCTAGTCTCTGGCTGGCTGTGGCTCTCCCATCACAGGGACAGCTCCACTGAGGAAGATGACGCGCTGAGCCCAAATCAGGAAAAACATACAGGGTGAGAAGTGCTCCCACAAAGGCTGTGTAGAAGTCACCCCCAGAGAACCCCCACTCCCCTAGCTGATTGAGAGAACTGAGAACCTCGCGGGACCATCACTGCAACAAAGAATTCATGCTGAAGTGGACCCGGGGTCCCTGCTAGGAGGCCATATCTCAGAGCGCAGCGGCCTGGCTCTGGTCACTGCCCAGGACCCCTAATGACCACAGCAGCCAGTGCTTGGCATACAGCAGGTGCAAAGTCAATATTTACTGAATTAATTGACTCCCTCAGAAAGCCGGCGGAGGGTGTGGCCTGGCTGCAGGGTGCTTCAGTGCTGCAGGGGAGGTGTTTCACCCTGACACCGGACTCGCCCAGGCGAACGAACTGTGAGTGGAAGAGACGTGTCTTGCTTTGGGCCAGTGTCTAATTTCTTATGCTTCCTTTCCCTTGCAATGGAACATTCCAGATGGGAGAGGCTCAGCATTCCCGAGTGAGGACAGCGTGGAACCCATTCCCTGAGCCAACCTGAGATGGATGTGCAGTGTGATCGAGACCGAGACTTGTGCTGTTTCAAGCCCCTGAGGTTTGGGGATGTTTGTTACTGAAGCTGAACCTAGCCCATCCTAACTGATACACTGCTGCCGGGAATAGCAGGGGGTGACACCACCAGCAAAGGTGAGATGAGTATAGTAGAGTCACCTCATATTCACATTTTAACTTAAACAAATCCAGTTGTCTAGAGAAAAATATTTTGTTGCATGTGGCATTTTACCTGCCCTTCTGCTCTCTGAGTGAATGTGAGATTAGAGACAAAATCATGCAGTGCCCTCAGCTGCACACCCCTTCATGCTCCGCGTGTTTCAAGATATGCATTTTCTGGAAAATATGGCCACTAAGGTCAAATCAATGACTTTATCCAGTGTTTCACCAAAACCCAGAGCTCCAATACTGGAAGGAAACTGGCTGTGTAGGGGCAGCCCTGGGAGATGACATGCCCCCTTCCTAGGAGATCTCTAGGGATGATTCTGTCCCTGTGTGATTTCTGCCTTGCTGGTTGCAAATGTGACTCCACTGCACAGAAGGCGAGTCCCTTAGGGGCTCATGGTCAAGCGGTCCTTGTCTTCCTCAACCTTGGGCGGACCCAGCTTCAGGCAGGAGGCCCCCAGGGGATGCGCAGCACACCTGCCAGGTCCTGCTCTGATCCTGCACTGGCCCTGCCTTCTCCTCTGCCCCCACCCCCACCCCGCCCCGCAACCCTCCCCTTCTGCGTAAGGAGGAAAGGCCAGCCCAGCAGCGAGTTCCCTGTCACTCTCACCCGTAAAGGGGCCCCTGCCATCTGCCGTCAAAGAATGACTTTGAGGGGGACTTCAGGCCTACCAGGCATTCCTCCCACGACCAAGTGATGCTGGCACACCAAGGATGCGGCAAGGATGCTGCCAAGCCTGTCTGGCTTTGCCAGCAGGGGGCCCTCGTGGGCAAGGTAGCAGTTTATTAAATGAGCTCGTCTGTTATCACGATGGCTCTTCCAAATGGCTGAACAGAAGCCTTGGTGCAAACCTACTCCCCTACCGGGATCTGAGACAGAGTCCTGTTTTGGTCTTGTTGGTTTTGCTCTTAGTCAGCATCCATTTGCTTCCGTCGTGAATTAGATCCTTTTCTCCAGATAATCTCAACACCGACTGAACCAGGCCAATCACTGCTCCCCTCCCACCCCCACTGGCCCACGAGCTCGCCCTGGACTAACACGTTCTCACGCTGTGCTGCAAGGAATTCGCGTAGGGGGCCCCCAGCTGCTACTTTTAGAAGGGCCTGCTTGCAAGTTGGGCTGGGCTGTATCCCGGAACACAGCTTCTAAAGTGTTCCTGCACCAATAGGAAAGACTCCCTAAGTGACAGGGGTGCTTCCCTGTAACCAGACTGTATGCGCGGCCTGGCTTGTGCCGAGCGCCTGCCTCTCTCTGGGGGGCCTGGGGTTCTGGTGTGTGCCAGGCAGAGGTGCCCACGGGACCAGCCCCCAGTGGACCCTGGATGCTGCATCTCTACTGGGCGTCCCTGGGCCTCACCACCGCACGCGGGTGGCTGCTCGCTTGGCTGCACGGTGGGCGCTCTGGGTGATCCTCCCAGAGGAAAAAGGTACAGGCTGTCTGCACGTGGATCCCTCCGGACGCCCATCTCTGCGGGCCCACCGTGTATCTGTCCTGTGTCGCCGGAACAGTTCTGAGCCAGGAGGACACAACGTTGTGCTGAGTCCTGGGACTTACCGACTGCTCGCGACCTGGGGACCCTGAAAAACGTGCATGGCCGAGATCACGTGAAACTGCAGCCCCAAAGCTTCTCACCCAGTGGGAGCTGGAGAAACGGTCTTCATTTCTGGGAGGCAACCTTCTCTGACCACCTCGTCTAAGTGGCCCTGGGTCACTTGCTCTCTTGTCACCTGACCTCCCGCATCTGTCTGAGTGGGAAGCTGCCTAGTCACTCATCTGTCCCCTTGTTTCTTGTCTGTGCTCCCCCCACCAAGAGGGGCTCCACCCAGGGCCTGGCCATCTGCTCAGCATCACGGCCTGGGGGGATACCCTGTGCTCAGAACTTGTCTGTTGCGGGGGGGGGGGGGTGTCCAGAGCCCCCCCTCCCCCTGTCTTGTGCCATCACCCGGCTTGGGTGTGGGGCGAGGGGCCCGGCTGCACTCAGCCCTGCGGAGCACGCCTGC